TGACAAAATGCTCACATAAAGGACAGAAATACATAATCAAACTTTAAATGTCTTACCGAATGTCGATAATCCCGTATTAAAGCTAGTTTTTTACTATTAAAGTCCAAATATAATCCTTCGAAACAAAACAACAAAACGTTTTATGTTCGTCGAAAACCCCAGATGTTCACCGGAAACTCGCTAAACTTCGATCACTGACCGGAAGTGTTGAGCTAGCCTCAACGTATGGCGTAAGAAGACTATTCCACAATAGACCTCTCTCCTTGTTTACGTTTCTGCATGGGCTAGCAAAACTTATTCAGAAGCTCCAGCGAGAGCTTATCATTGTGATACTACTGTCTTGTCTCCTGGCGCTATATAAAATATTTTAGAATGTGTTTACAGACGCGCATACAGAGATGGGATTACGCATTAATTGCTCACTGCGCACCTGTAAACGCCACTAGGATGCTTCATGTAAACATTTTATATAGACCTTGCATGGGGACGAGGCATTTGAAAACATGTATTTAAAATGCGGTTTTTCACAAAAGAAATCTATCAGGAATGGCACAAATTTCAACTCGCGTAAACGAGATTCATGAGCCCTCATTTTCTCGTTTGTGTGGAACTGAACTATTTTGTTTTGTCAGCTACTTTGAAGAAAAACGTCTAGATCATGTATACATTGGAATTTATCTGCCAGGCGATCAAACAAGGCAAGAAGTCTACTTTGATATTTGTCACTATGTAGATTTGTTCTTGTACTTTAATGCATGCATAAAAAACGAAACTGTAGATGAAGTAAGAACCCCAATTGCGATCGACTACGACTACAAAACCTAATGAATACAACTGAGTGTCAATTTGACCACGGCTACGAGATTTTTATGACGTTTGCACAAGGCGCAAAAAAATGCTCTCTAATGTTTTTTACGTTTCTGATGACAACAAGTCAAAGTATCAAACTGTGTCGTGCATGCTAAGAATATCCGAAGATCTTCGTTTGTTTATTTAAGCAGGATAGCCCATTCAGCATGAAATACACGCTAGGTTATCAATAGGGGTCCTATATATCAATAGGATGGTTAATCATTAAATAGGTAATTTTTAATCAATTTTCTAATGTTGATCTATAGTTATAAATATTTATAGTGAATTTGCAATGAATTTGAATGAGCTCCTCAAATCACGTTCCATCTACTATAGCTTGCCGAAATTCTTCTATGCTAAGGTTATTAAAACCTACCGAATCCTGAAACGCTATAGACATGTTTATATATACTCTCATATGTTAATGTTGCCACAAACATGAGTGTGGAAAACGTTTTGTCTTTTTATTTTGGCCGGTATTTTCCATGACCATGGGTATAGTTGCTCATTCGACAAAGTTCGTTCCACTTGTCAAATAGCACCGGCTACCTGAACTCGCAAAAGTCTGCCAAACACTTCATACATAAATTGAAAATTTGTGTTGACACTAAACATGTTTTAACTTATTATGTTTACCATATGGATATAGTTTCAATTGTCAGCATTGATATAGCACGGCCATCTCAGACGATGATATATTGTGGTCTTGCTAAGAAAAAAATAGAATGAAAAAGTTATTTTTGTAGCAGGCATTGTACGTGTCAACAGCATGAGCTCGACCTTTGAATTTACTAAAATAATGAATTTGAATTTACTAGAGTAAATTGTTAATTATAATTAAACACGGCGGGCCGAATTTATTAATCCAATAAATTCGCGACCCTAATCCAATAGCTTATTGGGATAGATGAACCTAACTCTAATCTAACCCAACTCTAACCCTAATATAATCTTAATCTGACCCTAATCTAATCTTAATCTGACACTAATCTAAACTTGATCACCTTTTTTTATAATCTGACGTGGAAAGACAATACCTTAATGGCTGCCCGCGCTAGAGAGGTTAACATGCATGTTTGAATGTTTCGAGAAGACATTGCGAATTAATTACAGCCTACATTCCGCAATTAATTCTTGAGCGAACAATTATTATACAAAATGATATAAGACGATTGTTAAGCCTGGGAAGTATTAAGCGATCGAATTTTAGTTTTTTGTTCAATGCATGTATCGTTTCGAGAGGAAAGATTGCGATATGTGAAAATGTTTTCAAACGCAAACTCAAAATTTGTTTGCTTCAAAAATTTGTTTGTTTGCATTTTTGTTCGTTTCCAACGTTCTCATAATTTTATTGAAATGCAAATTATTATATGATGATGTTAAGAATTATGCATGCCGTTGCAAGTAAATCAATGAAGGAAAACGATTCCAAAAAGTTCCCATCGAATTGTCGCTTCGAGGTAAAAACATTTTATCATCCGTGTATTTTTTGTAGTTCATGTCAATAAAAATATCTATGGTATACTGAATGTATGATAGAACAACAGGAACACGGCGAACTGTGAATTTCAGTTTGAGAACTAGATGTGGAAACAATTCTATTTCTATCATGTATCGAGCAAGAAAATTCCAGTAACTCATTCGAATCCCGACGATGGCTTGGTAACCAAAGTTTAATTAGTTTAATTTTTTCGTAATCAAGGGCGTAAACAATAATACCAACTGTTTTACGGCATGTAAATCCCCCCCATAGAATATTACCCATGCCTACATTGATACAAGTTAATATGTCACAAGTTGTGACATTAATTAAACACAAGCAATTATTATACCCTTCACAAAGAAGGTGTTCCTCGTCAACAAATTCCAGTTTGGATCCTATAGAATGGAGGGAAAATTCGCAACGAAGTTTTAGTGTAATGATGTCCAAGATATACAACGTTCCCCGCCCATACGAAAGAAATGCCAACAACCGTCCATTAGGAGAGAAACAAGCAGTGGTTATGTATTTGTGGCACAAGATTGTCCAATACACGTGACGTTCAATCTACATTGTTCGCATCTTGTAATAAATGTGTGAATTTTTCATTTCTCATAAGCACGTGATATTGACTACTGCATGCGATCACCTTCATTTTAAGTTTGTGTTCAGGAAATGGTGTACGTGCAACTATTGCTTTTTTCACAACATTAAAAAAAACAAACCTGCGACTCCATGATACAAGCTACTAAATCTTGTACGACTGAACGACAATAACAAGTACCAATCAGTTCAGGAAAACTGACGAGACGTTGAGTCACTTCAGAATTCCACAGCTCAGGGATGCCTGAAAAGGACTCATCTTTACCAATAAATAGTTTCCATAAAGATTTCCGTACCTCTCCACGAAAGAACACACCATTTGTTACTGGAACAAAAGGAATAAGATTGTCTTTTATTTGACCAAGTTTCTTAGATTTTACTAACTGAGGCCGACTAAGCTTCATGATATGTAAAATACCTCTATTGTCATGTGTGTAAATATATGTTCCATCTACTGAAACAGAACAACTTTTCGCATACCGGAGATAAAGCAATGGGTCTGATCCTTTCATTACCTTGGAATTCTGGATCAACTCAGTAAGCATAAGCAATTTTATTTCATTTCTGTAATAGCTAGAAACCAAAGCGCTTCCATTACTGAGGATAAAAAAATAACCACTACCTGCTTTGCGAAACCACGTACGATCTTCGCTTTCCATTACCACTTGGAATTTAGCGGAAGCCCTTGCGTTAGTTGGCCATAATATAATGAAACGTTCGGGAACAGGTGTATTTGTTAGGTCATGTTTAACGATTTCGTTCTTTGATTTTAGAACTAGCAGGCTAATTAGCTTAAAGCAGTACCAGGAATCTGAATAAAACGTCGAAACTAAAACTTCAAAGTTTCCAGCACAGGACCTTGATATCATAGTGTAACTATTCTCAGTATCATAAACACAAACCTCATCAATGTTTGTTGTTCCAATAAATCTGTCATTAGCCGAGAACAACATGGAGAGTAATTCTGACCGACATGAAAGGCTTACTATCTTCTTATTTTCAACTAGATTCCAAACTGTCAGATGAATGCCGTAATTTGTAACCATTTTGGAATTATCGTGAGAAAAACAACGATTTGTAAACTTATTGGGTATTTGTTCGCACACAATCGGCCCAGATTCAAATTGTCCTTGTAAATTAAGTACGTGCTTAAGTTGTCCGGGAAATATGATGTTTCTACAAGGATGAAAAACAATGCAGCGAGGTGGTTTTAGAATATCAATAGGAAGCGCTAAATGACAAGTGCTACCCCTCTCTACAACAAAATCATCAATTTTCCAGACATGTTTGAAATCGGAAAGAGAAAACATCTCAACTCCTCTCTTCTCATACCCACATACTAAAAAGTCTTCTGACGATGAAATATCAACATCTAAAATTTTGTATTTAGTTAAAATACGACCTATTACTGACTTTTCAGTACTCTGTTGTTTGTCTTCACATTCGAAAAACGCAATCCCTCTGTACCGTATCATTAGCAGTTCAGATGCTTTGGGTGAAACTTGAAAGTTCTTCATTTCTTTCATTTACGGCATGCTGTAAAAATGACTGCGGAACATCTTTTAAAATATATGTGAATTTTCTTATACTTATGAGCGTGTTTATCGTTGCCTGCGTTTTCTCACTCAAGGTGTTATACATATTCCAGTTTGACAGGCTGGCAAGGTTGTTTAACGTCATGTAGACATCTATACCGACAGTTGCATGCACAATTTCTAAGTCAGTAACGTAGTCTATCAAATTCGTAAGAGAATGCGTGTCTCTTATTTCCGCCCGTAACGTATGTTGTATTCCGTACTGGAGTGCATAGACGATAGCAAGGTCATCACCGTATGCCAGTCTTACCTCTTTTTTTTTTCAACGTGTCCATATGACTAACGCAAATATCAGCCAGAATTTTATCACCACATCTTTCTGTGATTTTAAACTTATGACTAGGTTTCACTAGCCAGTCTTTAACTGATTTGTGGAAAAATAAAACACAATCATCCTTGATGACAAGGAGTGAAGAGAAGCAACTAATTAGTTTGCTTAACGTTCTTCCTGCACCTAACGAATCTTTTTCAGAGCTAAGTAATCTTTCAATAAATGCTAAAGGAAGAGGCTGTTTCGCAACTGCTATTGCGCTTAATAATGATAAAAAAGTTTCCTCTCAATGCCCAAAATTTTAAGTTCTTTCTCCAAGCGATCGAAATATGATTCGTAGATTTTCTCAATACCTCTAGGTAAGTTCTCAATATTTGATTTGATAAAGTTGTCGTCAGGAAGTTTACAAACAAAAGATGCATAGAGCATGAGACCTTCAGATTTGTCAACTAAAGTTTTCACAAGCTCTTCTCTAGAAGCGTGATCAACTGTAGTTTTTAATTTATCCTTAAAAAAAAGTCGAAGATCGTTTAAATTCCTTTCATCATCTGGCTTCAGAAACATTGGATTTAATCCTTGAAATTTTAGGGCAATATCTTTCTCTGATCTTGATGTGATTAAAAATCGAATAAATCTGGGAAATTTGTGAAAGTGGTTGGTAATCAAATTAACAAACTCGTATCTTTCCTTTTGCTGGCTTTCATCTAGCGCATCTATTACGATTAGAATATGCCTACCTGGATCGGGAATATTTGCAAATGGTTCTTCAAGGAGCACTGAAAATAGCCCTTTTATATTCATATCGTCCAACATTTTCCCTTCCTGACCAGATAATTTGCTGGTAAGGTTTTTTTTATATTCTGGAAAGACATTGCACAATTGCCATGCCAAAGACTGGAGAAGAAACTTTGGATTGTTGTACCTACTATTATTATGCTCGACAAAATGACAAGCTGCAAAATGTTCTGGGAAACGTTTACATGCAACCGCGGCGATAGTGGACTTACCCATTCCAGCCTGACCAGAAATAATAAATACGCGATTATCAAAAGATGTGTCATTCAACCATGTTGATACCTGTTGAAAAACCCACTCACGAGTGCCTTCAGTATAGCTCTTAAGGAGCAATTGTATTTGTTTCTCAAAGTGACACTGATGAAGGCACTCTGTATGCATAGGGGGCCTATTATAGTTTCGCGGTTATGCGGTTTTAGCCATATTTTGAGGTCGGGTTTCGGTTATATCCAGTTATTTTGTACGGTTTGCGGTTAACTGGAAATCGTGCGGAGACAGAAAATGTCGAAATTAGCCCTCCGGATTCGGTTATTGACCAAAATAAATCGCGGTTTTCGGATAGTTTTTAACACGCGGTTAGGAAATATTTTACAAGCTCATGGCAATAATTCAGTTCAT